AGGGGAGAGATTCTGCAAATAGAATAATTGAGATCGATTACTTTCATCTTCTAGGGCTGTGCGTAGAAGATAGTTGGCTGTTTTAAGCCGCTCCTTCGAAGCAGGCGATCTGTGGGCTTGCCACTCCCTCCGAAGCCTTCTCTTATTGCTTAGCAATTCGTTGATATGCCCAGAAGCTCGACTGTTGCTAAAATTAGAATTAAAATTACAAGCCGATATAGTAGGTGTGGAGTGTTGAGCAGCTAGTGACATAACAGATACTAGTGCTTCAACTGAGCTGTCAATCTCTTCTTTTTGGTGCATGTTTGGGAAGCCATCAATATGGGTACTCACATACTATCTGTATTTAAGCCAATCTGTTTCACTGGAAGTTAGAAGATGTGTTCGTTTAGAAAGCTGTGGATGGTCGTAGATAAGAATTTAAATGGGCGAGTAATCCGATGAAAGATCTGATAAGTGTTCCACATGAACATGACCTCTAGGCACTCTTCAGGTTAGCTTTTTTCTACTTTTGGACAATACCAATAAACGCATACAAAGAACACATTATCAAACATTAACAATATATTTTTTAATACAAATATTCTACATACCTTTGTCTTTCTTTTCCATAATTTTAGTGAAAATTGCTCAAGCCACAACAATTTTGGCACGCTCGCAAGTAAACAAAATCTTTTCCGCTCTTTTTAGTTTCGCACGCTTACAATCAAACAGCTGACTTTCAAGGGCCACTAAAATTTCAGGAATGCATCAAAACAATTAAAATCTTTTAATTCATTTTAGTCAAAGTATATACTATTCAAATTTTATTATTAAAATAGCAACGGAGCAGACCGCCAGCAGCTAATCTGGTGCGCATAGGTGTACCGCTGCAGTTGCTGTATGTAATCCGCTCTTCAAGCTACTCTTACGTTATAGTTGTTATCTCATCTATCATCTATGTCAGCGGTGCTCAACGCCTATACACTGAGTGCACTTTTGTTTTTGTAGATGCTCTGTGCTTATGGGTAGTGCGCGCATAAGCACCGTGCATATGGGCTTCGATTTGCATGCGAAACAAAAACAATTTTGCTTGTTTCTTCATTACATCTCTATCCGTCGTCACGCTTCGCTGAACGCAATGTATTTTGTTTTTGTTTTTTCCTCGAGCTCATGCACTGAAACTTATTTTTCTGTCTGCGTTGGCTTTTGATTTATTTCGTGGTGTACCATCGTAAGTGTTATGTTAAATTTTTTGGCGGGTCAAAATGAGTGATGAATTAGAAAGCAGTTTTTTTGGCATAAACTTTAAATGCGAAGTACAATGCGTAATAAATAAAAAAAACCAAAAATAAATATTTAAAACTTTTTTTTTTCTCTCAGTGCACAGCTGCGCCCCAACTAAAACGCGCCGCTACATATGTACACGTTTTCTTGTGGGTGTGTTAGTAAACGCACTGCCATAAGACGAATTTGAGCACCCCTGATCTATGTTATATATGTAGCCAAGTTTCTCTTGCAAACTTCTTTATAAACTAGCCGCGCTTTCGGCCGGCCCACAGTCAACCACAGTTTAAGCTTACACTTATCTCGCATGCATTTTACATATATATCACAAAACATAAAACGAAGAGTTGCAGATTTTTTAAAATTAACTAAACCTATTCGTGTGTTTGGTTATTTACAAGGGTGACATATTCGTTGTCTTCCCCACAAACATTTTGGTGACCCCGGTCGTTTGATTTTGTATATTTTGCGCTGTGTTTATCAGTTCTTTTGCTGTTTCTAAACGGGCAAACTCTTTGCAAGCAACAACAACAAAACAAAGTTCCGTAACCTTTTGGGGACGCTTGGTGCTTAACATTTTCGCGCTTTAAACCACAGGGTGTTTCGTGCATAGTAAACTCGTTCAGAAACTATTTTTTATTTTTTATATTTTTGTGATTTATAAAATGCAAAATCCTGTGAACGAGATGCAGCCTCAAAATGGCCCCAGTGACATACAATTCTTTCGGGCCAAAGTGCAATCCTATTTGCGGCAAATCAACTCGATGAAGAATTTGGTGGCCAGCAATATTAATCAATTTGATGAGGCCGATATTCTTGCGATACTAAATTGGATCGACGCACAAAACTTGGTATTTGATTCTGCCCAGACATCGTTGGAAAGGCTGGACTTAGCGGAGCTGGAGCTGAACACTAGGTTGGAATTTTCAGAAGTCGTCACGGATGTGTAGGCTTAGCTTAATCGACGCTTAGCGGCCCAACGCAAATTGCCATTTGCTAGTGCCACAGCTGCCAATTGCACGTATCTGGACAAAATCGACTTACCAAGGTCCACTTCTGATGCCAAGATTATCGATGACTCTCGCAACACCGACCTCGTAAAACAGGACTTGCAGGAACCACTGGCCAACAGCAAGGTCATGTCGCGTTCCTACTCCATGCCCAATGTTCCCGTTCCACCACCGGAATTTCTTGGCATCATGTTCCAACCAGTCTCAATCCGGCGGATGTCGTGTCGAGAGGCTGTACCCCTAGAGAATTTCTGGAGCATTCCCTATGGGCTAATGGACCTCCATTTCTTTTGTAAAACTCGTCGGAATGGCCTTCCCAGTTAGATGTAGTAAAGGATCTTCCGGAGTGTCGTTCCGCGACTCTAATTGGAAGCGTTTGCGTAGATGTTTCTACTAACATAAAACTCCTTAACTCATTTGATAAGTTGCAGCGTGTATTTGCGTACACGTCTCTTTTTATTTCGAACTAGAGGTCCTGTGTCCGCTTCGCTGGTCAACAGGGGCGGCCTGGGGGGGGGTTCGCGATCATAATTTTTTTTTAAATAATGCAAGTAGCAGGTGGCAAATAATCAAAAATTATACGCAGTTTTATTCAAAACACAGTGTACAAATAAATTAATTAATTTTAATCTAAATGGCGAATTCCATTTTGTCTTCTATTTTTTCGTTTCTCTCATTGCATTGTTGCCATTGGAATGCATTTACAGTTAGAAACACAAATTTGGGCGAAGAGATAGGAGAAGGGTAGGCAAGGGAAGAAGTGGGCAAGGAAGGACTGGCGACACGCTGTAACACGCAGGTTTCCGAAGTTCACGCCAGCTCATTCCGTTCACGCGTTTTCTAAGGAGTCGGACGCATTCAAGTGCAGCACCTTTTTCAGAAGCTGGGGGGGGCGATCGCCCCTATCGCCCCCCCTGTATCCACCACTGCTGGTCAACACAATTTAACAACATAAAAGTCAATGTTGCAACATTTTTCAAATATATGGAAGTATAGAAAGATGGGAAAGATCCAGCCGTTTCTCTTTTAAACTTTAACGCACTGCAATATCGGTATAATATCGCCATTGGTCCAATATCTAAATTTTCATTATCACTGTAGTTCGCAGTGGGGTCATATTGGAATGCCAAGCGATTGAATGATGCCAATGATCTCCATGTGCTCATTTGTCTTTCTCCGCTTAAGTTTTGTGAATATACTTGTTGCTGGCTTGGATGTCTGCGTCCTCTAAGCATTTTGGACTATGGACAGAGTGTTAAATTATCCTCAAATGCACGAACCACATAATTTTCACAGTTTAACTTAAATTAAATAAAAATTCTTTTTTTCTCACAATTTCACAGTGAACACAAAAATTGAGTTAAAATGCTATGGGGGCGTGTTTGGCTTTACATTCAGATGTCCATCTTTCTGTTGAGGAGATCAACTTGAGGATCGTACTTCTTCTAAGGAGCATCCAGCAAATTCACTTAGCCAAGGAGTCATACCCGGCGAGGACGGAATCGTCAGAGTAGCTATGGTCTGGACAGATACGGGCAGCCGCCTCCAAACCGTTCTGCTCATCGACTTTCAAATATAGGAACCGTACCACTTCCGACGTTGTTATCTCATCTATCATCTATGTTATATATATAGCCAAGTTTCTCTTGCAAACTTCTTTATAAACTAGCCGCGCTTTCGGCCGGTCCAAAGACAACCACAGTTCAAGCTTACACTTATCTCGCATGCATTGTACACATATATCACAAAACATAAAACGCAGCTCCAAAATATACACTTAAATTAACTAAACCTATTCGTGCGTTTGGTTATTTACAAGGGTGGCATATTCGTTGTCTCCTCAACAAACATTTACTTTCTATGAAAAATTTTAATTTTCGTCGAAAAATCGGTGCCCTGGCCCAATATGCACTGTGTGTACCTTTTTCTTAACTTGAGAATTGGACTCGTCAATACAAAGTAAGTTGATACACGATTCCACAAACTCGACATTTACTACCCTGCAGTTCCAAAAGTGGCTTTTCGTCGATGAAATGGACGACGACCCACCGATGACAGGGGAAGCAGCCACTGGTGGCTATCCGATGACAATTCATATAGTCATTTGTATGGGATCGCCGGTTTTGTCATGCATGACGCTCTGGATGACAATTTTGTCCGTTTCATCGAACGAGTCATCGGTGGCTTATACGAATTTTGTATGGAGTAAATTCGTATAAGCCATTGATGATTTCGTTGGTGACGTGGGGGAGACAATTTCATCGATGGCTTCTGGGAGGATACCCTTAGTGAAATCACCAATGTCTTTATGAATATGTCGTTGGTGCATTCATCAATGAGTTTTCAAAGATTGACCTACATGAAACCATTGGTGACTTTTTAAACCATGTCCTATATGAATTCACCAATACATATTTTTGAACAGTCATAAATATTTTTTTTACAAAAAAAAAAAACGTTTTTAATACAATTTTTAATAATTTCAAATATTTTCTTTTATTATTATTATCATTTTTTCTATTATTATTTTACAGGGTACTATTTAATTTACAATTTTTCCTGCTATTTTTTTTAATTAGGTTATTTTTAATGTTGTGTATAGCCTTTCTTATGTTTTTTTTCAGCATCCTCCAGTGGAGCTGCTGCTTCTGAGACCTCTGAAAATGTAAAAATTATTAAATTATTGTTATTCAAACTTTTTTTTTATTTGCTTACCTTTTAAAATTTGGTAAAGGTTTGAAAAGCCTTTAAGACTTTTCTTACCGCTTGACCCATCCAAGTTGTAGTTCTGGACAAGATTTTCATCCAGAACCATGCGGACCGCTTTAACGAAATGGTCGTTCTTGGCCATGTTGGTTATTTTTTGTTTCTGTAATGAAAAAATTTGAAATATTTTGCCACCAACAGCATAAAAAAACTTACGTAATAATCTCGGAGGGTTGGCGTCATTGTGGCCTCGAAGAGATTTAAGTCATCATCTGACTTAAGGGGGAAGGGAAACCCCGATAGCCCTTCCTTATGCTCCGCCTTCGTCCTTATTTTTAGGAGCGCGTTATTTTCCGCCAGCTTCTCAGCCATCGAATCTAATTTTTGGTGCAGAGAAGCATTCTGCCCACGCAAATAAGTTATTTCTTCTAAAATGGTAAATAATTTTATTAAAAAATGAAAAATACTCGAATAGAAAATATTACCTTTTAAGGATTCAATTATACACGGTGCGTCCATTAAGTTTCGAGACTGATTCCATAAATCGCAAAATAAACAAGATATTTCAAGTTTTTCAAATTTATTATTCGAAGTATTCTCCCTTCGCTTTATTACACTTCTCACAGCGATTCAATAGTGATTCAAATGCGTGCTTCAGCTCATTTTGTGGAATAGCCTCCAATGCTCGTGTCGTTTTAATGGTCTCAACATCTTCAAAAAAGCATCCTTTCAACTTCAACTTCAACTTTGGAAACAAGGAGAAGTCACACGGCGCCAAATCAGGTGAATACGGTGGGTGGTCCAACACACAGACTTGATTTCGGGCTAAAAACTGACGAACAATGATTGATTTGTGACTCGGCGCATTGTCGTGCAACAGACACCATTTCTCTGGATCGCGATATTCGGGTCGAGTACGACGGATTCTGGCCATCAAATGCTTTAAAACTTCAAGATAATACGTGCCAGTGACCGTTTGACCAGTTGGAACGAACTCTTTGTGGATAATGCCTTTACTATCGAAGAAAATGATGAGCATTGTTTTGATTTTTGAAGGAGATTTTCGCTTTTTTTGGCTTGTGGTGAGTTTTTTGACTTCCATTCCGAACTTTGGCGCTTAGTTTCTGGATCATACTGAAAGCACCATGTTTCGTCGCCAGTAACAATTGATTTCAGAAAGTTTGGATCATTTCTGGCGGCTGCAACGACTTCTCTGCAATGATCTTTGCTCTTTGTTCCATGTTGGAATTTCAACATCAGATCAAAAACTGTTTAGGGAAAACTGTCATATCCTTGTTATTTGACAAGCAAATGTAATGAAGTTTGACACGTCAATAGAAAAAGGTTTAAGCTTTAAAATGCACCTTCGAATACCTAGCTGGCGCTACTATTTGCTGAGATATGGTTCATGTCTCGAAACTTAATGGACGCACCGTGTATACTCCGCAGTGATATCTGTAAATAAAATTTAAATAAGTAATCAAAAAAAAAAAAAAAAAAATAAATCAACAAATTTACGGGGTACTGATGGCTGATCTGTGAATACAAGAAAAATAGTTTAATTTATGTTTTTTTTTTTAATGGAATTTATACTTACCCGACTCGGAAAAGTTGATGCGGCGAATTTTCGAACTTGGCTCTGACATTCTAAGTAAATAAAAAAGAACATAATTAAAATCATTGTTTTATTTCATTAAATTAATTTCATTATTTTAACATTTTTTTTTTTTTTTTGGTTTCGAACCATGGCAGGTGAATTTTCAAAAGATATTTAAAGCGCCGTCGCTTTAAATATGCCCGATTCGTAATTAAATTACGCCTACGGACTAAACACCTCCAAAATCCTAAAAATCCCTATGAAAAGTGCAAGCAGGGAACTAAAACTGCTTCCTGTTTGAAAGGCATAACTACAGCCTTTCTTCTAAATTCCCTAACTGAACATTTTTTAACGTCCATCTGCGTTCTGAAATTTACTAAATAAATACCTAGGCTTGACGACCTTAAGGGCTCATCAAAAAAGTTTGTTTTATTATTTAATTCCCTACCTATTATAAAAATTTCTCCTTCATTCTCCTCAAAGGACTCTATTTGTATTGGGATCTCATCCCCAACAAAACAAAAATTGTCTGGTGTCCTATCGCTAAGTCTACAGTCTTGGATTTTGAGAAACCTGCCTTCTAACTTAATTTCTTCCCTTCCTGGAGCTACATACGATTCCTCTACCGTTCTTCTATAAATTTGTTCTAAAATATTTGTTGGCTTTCGGACCACTTTTTTTAATACCTGCAAATAATTCTCAAAAGCGTAAGAGGAACCTGCAATCGGATTTCCGATTTGATTTACAGTCTCTCTTACATGGAGTAGGCCATGAATATTGTAAGAAACACTGTTTTCGCCGAAGACAATGGGAAAATTTTCAACAAATAAATTTAAAATTCGTTGAGCAACCTCAACATTATTCTCCCGCTGTTTTTGTGAGCAGAGCAGTCTATATGCGCAATGCAATAGCAAAAAAATATAATACTGCTCTTCATGGATTGTATCTTTAAAAACTACAATTCCAGTGTATAATAAAAATTGGCGAAATTCAGTGCTTTTCCAATTTGGAAGTTCTAACAATGTTCTAGGCTTTCGTGAAAATTCCCTAGGTATGTAGCCCCGCATTGACGTTAATATATCTGACATCTTCATTTTATTTTCTTTAGAAATTTTTTGTTTTACTTTATTATAATAAATTCTTTCCAAAATTTTTCGCATTACACCCAACTCAATGAGGTGCATGCAATCCAAGGGAACTTGGGTAACCATACCGATGCCAAGTTTTTCGAAAGCGGACTGAGAGCCTAAATAATCTTTGGAATGATGATTTGGATATTTCCTTCTCGCAAAGTCAACATCTGTAATTAACTCAGCACAAGAAGTGCTGTATGTTAACGTTGCATCTATTTTGCGTCCCACCTGAGTGCATTTGGTACAGCCTTAACTGGATGTATGTCCAGGTGTGCCTGTAACAAATGCCCTTGCAGGAGTGTCGCACACAAGAGCTCTAAGATCAATTTTAATGTTTTTATTTAAAATGGTTAGACCATTTTCCATTACATCGGACAACTCCCTAGTAAATCTAGACAAATACTCATCTGAATTGGATGGCTTATTTTGGCCCGAAAAAACTCCTACGGGGAAAACCGGACATTTATTTATATTATTTACTCTAATTAATATGGGCCACAATTGTGAACGTGAGCTTTTAAATAATGGAAGGCCGTCAACATTAACGTCAATACTTAATACATCCGGTAGTTCCGGAACTACATCAAGTTTATTTAATTGTTTTGAAAGGCCAATATGCAAATAGGAACCACCTCCAACTTGCATAATATTTGGCTTTTCATTGCAATTAAATTTTTAAAAAGGCCTAATATTTAAATTTTCTTCATTTAAAATTTTAATTAAATCGATAACACAGCTACGCTTGGGCTTGTGTTTTACAAACCACTTCCTAAGCTTATAATTAAGATCCTGCTCTACTTCCATGCTTGCTTCCTGACTTGATTCTTCATTTAAACTATCTACCTCTACATCTTCCTGCAAAAAATGATCATTAACCTGAGCGCTTACTTCAATATTTTCTTCTATCGGACTTTCTTCTGCTAATCTTAGCCTTTTAGCTAATTGGTCTTTTTCCTTCTTAACTAAGTTACGAATCTGACGAGGTCTAATCATTTTTTCACTTCTAAAAAAATATGAATACAAATCTAATAAAAAACAACCGCTGAAAATGAAAAAAAATTTAATTTTATAATTTAAATACTGCGTTTATCTCGCATCGTTTACGAGATATCGGGATATTAAGGCAGATGCTCACCTTGTGAAGGAAAAAATCGATTTTTTTAGGCTTTTCGTATAGATATTAATCGTTTTCTTTAAAAACTTTATTTAAAAAATTGCAATTTTTGGGCTCTACAAGGTGAGAACCTGCCTTAATAAAAATGTAAATAAATAATAATAAATCATAAAGAATAAAAGAAAATAATAAAATTATTTAATTAAAATAAATAAAATAATTATTTAATTAAAATAATAAAATTATTTAATTATGTATATATATAAAAATATAACATTTCCCAGTTATTTTTTTTGCACGTTGCCCGCCCACTGTGACGTATAACGCGCGCAGAATAATCTCACATTTAAAGGTCAATATTTCATAAACATGGCGAAATTTCGAATTTTTAAATTTATTATTTATTAATTAAAAAGTTTTTATTTTGGGCCAATTAACAATAAAATGTCCTCAAACCTTGGCACCCCAGTAACTAAAATCGCACCAATAGATAAATTAAAAATTTTATTTCTGAACAAAATAAACGTGGACCCACTGTACCTCGCAACGAATGCAATAAACACGTACAAAAAACCATAAGGCGGCGAGCGACACTTCAAATTTTGACAGGCTTAAACTGCATTGGGCCCAGTTTAGAATTGGGCCCAGCTTACGATTGGAATTAATTTATTAAATGTGCGCCGGCGCACATATGTAAAAGAGAGTTCACTTTTTGCACTTGCACTTTATTTTCTTCAAAAAGCACCGCAGCGCCTTATGGTTTTTTTCAAAACTTAAAAAAAAATAGCTCTTAAACATTTTGTAAACACTTACCTGGTTTTTTCTGAAAAAATTATTTCACAAATTGTCACTTTTAAAAAATCGTCTTTGCTGGCGAACAAGGAAGTCTTCTTAATTTGCTGGCGAACAACGAAGGAATGACGCAGGTCAGTTCTTTTTTTTCTTAATTTGCGTCGTCCCTTTTGTTTCGTCTTAGACTTTTTGGCGCGTGCCGCATACCCTTTAGATTTAAAGTCATACCGGACTATATATGCAACGCGCATTAATAAAAGGGCAAGATTCTTAATACTAATATTAGAAATGTTTATTTAAACTATTTAGTCAAATTATAAAACCATTTAACAAATCTCTTTTTTTAAATAAAAAAAATTAGTTAATATTGATTTATAATTTGACTAATAAATTTAATTTAAATATAATTCCCAGACAATAATTATACATATTTTAAATAAATTATTTCAAAAACTTTAAAACCTAAAAGTATTCATGTGTAAGTCGAGCATGCCTCAGCCGGGGTTTCCACCGAAAACACAAATTTGTGTTGCTAACGGAGATTGACAGCAATGATAAAAAAAAAAACGAAATGGAATAGAAGACAAATTTGGTGTCGGGCCGCCGTCGGTTGCAAACAACGATTCGTATTATAAGAGTGAGAAAGAGAGGGAAACTTAGGAATATCCCTTTTCCTTTTCTACACACACGATTGCTTAAATGACACGAGTCACCAGGTGACAGCCAGAACTGCAGGGTACCTATGCATTTAACAAGAAAGGAAGCTAGCTTCGGCAAGCCGAAGCTTATACACCCTTGCAGTCATCAAATATTTCGAACAGAATACATAAAGGCTAAACAACATCGAAGCAACGGCGACTTTTCTATTAATTTTTCATATTTTTGACTATTGTTCATTTGGCAGCTATATGATATAGTCGTCCGATTTTGATGAAATTTTATTTGTTATTCAAGAGTCGTTAGAAAACCCTATATTCCAAAAATCATGATTTTCTGATGAGAAATAACGATGTTATCATTTTATTTACGTTGATTCTATATAGATTTTTCGATCTTTCCTATGGCAGCAGTCAAGCCAGAATCAAGTCGACTATTCAATCGGCGAATGCTTTTCACTCGATTTCTTAACTTGCTTTTCAAGTCTTCAAGAAGATTACCATTTTTCTTTTCATGACTCATTTTGAATTAATTTATCAAAACAAATTTATTAAAAAAAATTATTTATAACAAGAAAGGAAGCTAGCCTCGGCAAGTTGAAACTAATATACGCTTGCAGTCATCAAATATGTCAAAAAAAAATTCATAAATGCTAAACAACATCAAAGCTATGACGATTTTTCTATTAATTATACTTTCGACGATTGTTCATATTAAAGCTGATATAGTCGTCCGATTTTAATGAAATTTAAGTCGAAGTTCGAGAATCATTATAAAATTATAGATTCCAAAAATGAGGCTTGGAGTAGCTATATGATATAGTTGTCCGATTCAAATCATGTTTGTAGGATAAAAAACAACGACGTTATAATTTTTTTGGCATTATTATTATTATTATTATATGAAGGGGGAATTAACTTCCTCGACCCAACTGGATCTATTCAGTGGCGGATTTACGGGGGTGGTTTCAGGGGTTCAAACCCCTACCGAAAAGCACCGCAGAGCGGTAAAATTGAATTGAAACTATTCGTTTTTTTCGTATTCGTATTTTTTTTTTCAATCGAAAACGGGGACGTTCTGACCCTAGTCAGTGCCGGATTAAGCTAGCGCGGGGCCTGTAGCAAATTCTGTCAAGGGGCCCTTGCTTTGCTTTAGGTTCTCAAGTTTTGGGTATTAAGGGGCACAACTAGTGTGACATTTCAAAAAAATCTTTTTTTTTTCTTTCATATTTCGGTAGATTACACCTTTAAAAATAACATATTAAAATTTAAAATCGATATCTTAAATAGTTTTTGAGTTATAGCAATTTTAAAAGCAGCCGCTCGTATAGCAGTGAATACGATCATTTTATCTTTAAGGGGGGTTTTAAAGGCCAAAAAAACGGCCATGTTTTATTTTTTTTTGCGGCGAAATGAGTATGTTTATTTTTTTTTGAGCTTTATTACATTTAATTGTTCAACTTTTGAAGAGTATTGAAAAAAAAAATTATTAAAAAATATTTAGAAATAAGCCTGTGGCGGTTAATCTTGCGAAGCGCCCAAAGAAAAAGTTGTTTTGCGGTGAACATCATAGGGCGTTAACGGATCATCTTAAAAAAAAACGTGATATGCGTTGTAAAGATAATGAATTTCCCGAGGTAATCAGGAAGAGTTTTTTTAAATTTATTTTTTGTCTATTTTTGGGAGCACTTGAAAGTGAAAAGTGCGATTTTAGCTTAAAAAATCGCTGTTAATTTATTTTTTAAAAATAGAAAAAATTAAAAATTAAAAAAATCTCTTCCTGATTACCTGCGTATTTATGTTGAGAATTTATGTTAAAAATTTGAAAAAGATCGGTTCAGTAAATTTTGAGTTCTGATGTTCACCGACTTTCAAAATAACGTCTTCGGCAAAATCGATTCAAAGTATTTTTATACGTGAAAAAACGTCCAAATACGGTTGTTTAAAACGCTGTAACTCCGTTAGTTCGACTTTAACTGACTCAAAATTTGTAAACAATGTTCTCGACATATAAATCATTCAGAAAAAAAATAAAAAAAAATGTAAAAAAAATTTTTAAACCCTTACCCCCCCCTTAAACGCGTTTTTCTCGAAACTGCATTTTCCGAATTTGCTGCAGTGATAACTCAAAAACTAATGATCCGATCACTATCAAATTTTTTTAGATGTTCTATATATAGTCCTCCCTACAATGCCCTATCGGTTTTTTGATCCGATCAAAAATCGAATTTTGGCAGGCCAAAAACGACCAACATTTTGGGTAAAATTCGATTTTTTTTTTTTTAAACGCCGCCATTTTGTCAATTTTTGATATTTTTTATTTATCGTAGGTCATTGTATGGACAATATCATCTAGTTTAACAAGAACTTTTCATTTTTTGATTTCATCCACGGAGAAGGCCGGAATCACTGCAGCAGTTGGGACACTTTTTTTTTTAGCGCCTTTGGAGATCGGCTCTAGCTTAAAAAATATTTAACTTTTTTCTTTAAAAATTTTACTGTATATTCTTCAAACATGTATAAATATATTCTAAAAATTTGAAAAGAATTGATCAAGTAGTTTTTTTTATAAAAATTCCCAAAAATCACCATTTTTTAGGCCGTCACACTAGTTGTGCCCCTTAAATAAAACAAAATTGTTACAAATAAACTTTTCTGGATTTAATATGGGCAAATTTTAGAGATAACACTTTCAATATCGACTTCTTTAAGCAAATCATGCTCTATATTCAACAAAGTGAGATGATTAAGACGTTCTTGGCCCATCGTGTTCCTTAATTCATTTTTAATACGTTTTAATGTTGAAAAAGAACGTTCGCCACTGCAGTTAGTGATCATGAGAGACAAGTAAAAGCGCAAGGCAATTTCTAAGTTTGGGAAACACGATTCTAAAGAATTATTTAATTCTTTATATAAAATTGCTGTTCCAGAGGCTCCTGTTTCGTGCTGTCAATAACAGTAGCCACATCTGTTTTCAGCAGCTCTGCGAACTGCACTAATTCGCCACCTAGGCTTTTCTCCAAATCATCTTCGTAAGCACTGACCATACTTGAGGATTTTTCCAAAATCTCTTCTGTTGTAAGAGATTTTAGCTGTCGAAATACTTCAAAAACACTATCTAAATTTTTTTTTTTTTACGATCAGATAGGTAGGAGTTGGAGCGCGGCCGCGCGGGGCCCTCCCAATGCGCGGGCCCGTAGCATTTGCTACTCCTGCTATATGGCTAATCCGGCACTGACCCTAGTTCAGCTAGCCTGTATAACACATACTCATACTGTGCGAGTAACGAAAAAAAATCAAGATATATCACGTGGCCTAATCAATTTTATAAATGTTTTTCAGTTTCCCCAACAATTAAAGCTGTCAATCAATTAGTTGGCGCGCCAGTGGAAAGAGAAGTAACTTTGGAATGCATAGTTGAAGTGTACCCCAAACCTCTTAACGGTTGGTACCGTAATGAAGGTAAAACTATTTTTTTTTGTATGACCTCTACCTAATTGTCATATTTTTTAGGCAACATTAAACTTCACAATGGAAACAAATACAACATTTCTGAAGAAATGATTAATTTGTACACATGGCATCTAAACCTTACCATTAGATATTTGACTAAATCAGACTTTGGAGCTTATAGTTGTTCAAGCGTAAATGCGCTTGGTAAGAGCGAATCACGTATTCGCCTGCAAGGTATAAGATGAATTGATTATTACTGTTGTGTATTTACACCGAATAGTTGATGTGTTCGCGTAGACGATCTCAGTTGAAGTGTTTTATTATATATATAAGCTTACAATCCAAACTAAGTATCTATTTATTGGTGTGACCGTTCTATAACAATAATATAATCTTATGTCATATTTTAATCTTGGAACTTCAGTGGTACAAATATCCAACAATTACATTATTAAGTATAACATTAACACAAACAAGGTTTTAAAAATATAAAACATTTCAATTTTTTATAAATAAAAAACCAAATTATTAGTTTATTAAAAAAAACCAATAAGATTTTCAACAAGAAAGAAAGCTAGCTTCGGCAAGACGAATTTCGAATTGAAATCGAATTCAAATTTCAAGAGTCATTCGAGAACTCCATATTTCAAAAATTAGGCTTGTCTGATGAAAAACAAGGATGTTTTAAAAGTTTTTCCGTTAACTTCCGTTAATTCTATATAGATTTTTCGGACTTTCCTATGGCAGCTACCTATATATATAGTTGTCAGATTTTATTTTATTTTTATATACAAGAACATCCTAGCCTAAGCGGTTGCGACACTCGGTTAACACACGTCTATGCGCGAAGAATGCTCGTTCAATCGATACCAGTTATAAAATAACCACGGAAACCAATCCATGCTGGTTCAACATTTCCAAGAATTAAAAAAAGTAAATAGATTTTGTGCTGTTTGAGTTTTAAAATTCGACAGTCTACTGTTCTTAAGAGTATTTTTTCATATATTGCATAAGGCTAGACCCTCAGCTGCCTTGTTTTCAAAATACTTCTGCACTAAACTTGGTCTTAGAACCGACACTCTTGTCACAGTATTGACTTTCGATTCCGATCGAAAGCAACAGCAAAGCAGAAAGCAAGAATATGAAAAACGACGTCTGCTGATGAGTTTTACGTTTCATTGCTTTACTGATTTCGGCCTATACTTCTACTGAGACTTCTGATTTTTACGAAAGCAGAAACAGAAACAAAATTATATAAAATGAAACTTACGGCAGTTTTTAAGCGCTGAGAAGAGCGCACGACACAAAAGGCTCTGCACTGTCAGAAAGTGGCAAGAATTTTGAGGGTAATTTTTGTGTTGAACGTTTAGGATGAAAAATGTTTTAAATACAATAATCTAGAAACAGAGGCTCCCGGCTTGTTAGCGTAACAAGCCTTAAAAGTTCATTCGTGCGTACTTACCACTGCAACCTGTATAAAATTCTTGCAGAATGAAAACTGTGAGCGCCATAGATTATTGCACGGCAGGAAAAACAAGAATCTACATTTTTAATCACAATATTATAGCTTTTGGGAAAGACGGATAGATGGACAGATGGGAAGATGGGAATGTATTATGTCTCGCCCACTATTATATCCACTTCTACTCCCAAAAGCCGTGAAAGTCAGCGTCGTAATAAATTTATGTTATTGATTTGGATTAAATACTTACATATTTTCGAGACTGCCTCTTAACATTTTACGCTCACCAGTCCAGTGGGGGCGTGTCTGCCTTTCTATTTGAACGTTGATATCTTAAAAAATATTTAATTTATAGGGACTTAACATGCAGGTTCTAGTAGTAAACTTGTAGCGAAAAAATTTTAAAGAAGGTGTCACGCCCACTTTAACGCCCAAAAACAGCAAAACTCTGTGCTGCCCACAGGTTGATAACACAACATTCTTATACCCTTGCAGGTCAAAAGGGTATTATAATTTCAGTCAGATGTTTGCAAAGCAGTAAAGGAGACACCTTAGACTCCATAAAGTATATATGTATTCTTGATCAGCATCCCCATCTGAATCGAAATATGTACGTCTGTACGTCTGTACGTCTGTCCGTCTGTCCGTCTGTCCGTTTCTACGCAAACTGGTCTCTCAGTTTTAAAGCTATCTTGCTGAAACTTCACCGAAAGTTGTGTAGTTATTGCACGCAGTATATAAGTCGGAACGGGACGGATCGGCCGACTATATCGGATAGCTCCCATACAAGAGAATAAAAAAATTCTCACGCCGTTGTTTTTGATCAGATCGACTTTATTTCTTCCAGATGGCATTTTCTAACTACTATTGAATTTCGGATTAAATTTTATCAAAATCGGATAACTCTATCATATAGCTGCCATAGGAAAGACCGAAAAATCTATATAGAAATAACCGAGATAAAATTATAACATCGTTGTTTTTCATCAGACAAGCATGATTTTTGGAATATGGAGTTTTCTTACGACTCTTGAATAACGAATTAAATTAAATTAAATTTCATAAAAAACGGACAACTATGTCATATAAAAGTCGTCGAAAATATAGAAAATTCATAGATACCTAAATCGCAGAGCTCGCAAATAACAGTTAACCGTTTTTCATGTAGTGCTCTCGGTGCGAGCACAACCGAAAAAGTTCATACTGTCTCGCTCTCGCTCTGAGCAAGAGCCCCTTGCTGTCATCATTTATGTTTTCTGTTGAGCACTTTTCGTTGAGCTCTTTGCATTTCGGTCTTTCAATGAGCAGTGCGTAAGGAGCAGATTGAGAAAAGCTCGCACAATGAGAGTCAGCAAAAGACCGATTGACCGAAAAACTCAACGCAAACGGTCTTCGCATTTAAACACACACGTTCAATTCACGAAGACGATTAATATCCCTGCAGTTCCGGCTGTTCACAAGTGAATTTTGGCAATTGCCAATCATGTGTGTAGGAGAGGGAAAGGGATATTCCTAAGTTTCCCTCTCTTACTCACTCTTATAATACGATTTCGTTGCTTGTACCCGACGGCGGCCCGACTCCAAATTTGTCTTCTATTCTTTCGTTTTTCTAATTGCACTGTTGTCATTCTCCGTTAGAAACAAAAAATTGGGTTTCGATGGAAAATACGGCTGAGGGGCGCTCGACTTATGTATACTCTTCTGATGTTAAAGTTCTTCAAATATAAATATAATATAACATATAATATATTATATATATATGTATATATATATTTAATATTATTTAAATTATGGAACCTAGGTAACCATAACATTGATTACAAATGTATGTGGATACATATAATATAACTCGCGTGTCATTTATGGTCGGTTATATCTAAAAAGAAGGGTATACTAAAAGGGTGAAAAATAAAATTGAACTGCGTCATTCTTTTGCGTAGTGCGTTGACAATATGTTGTCAAATTTCTTAATTTGTGCAACGGGAAGCGGAAATGTTTAAAAATCATGTAAGTGTCGTTAATATTACAAAAATATTTTGTTTTTTTACTACAAACTTATTTAAATCTTTTTAGGATATACAGGCTGTACGATAAATTCGTTTGAAAGGTAAGTTTGCTTTAAATTAAAAAAAGTAATATATAATATGTAATAACGAAAATATTTTTTGTACCATAGATGGACGCAAAACAGCCGATGTCTTGCAAATACTCCACATAAATGGTAAAAAAAAAACTTTCGAATTTCATATTTTTAATGTGCATAATCTTATGTTACAAAATAAGGTATTTTATAAAATAAAAAAAAATATATATATATATTGTTTTTCATATGAATTTGGGGATGAAATTTTGAACATTGGCATATATGATTTCCCTAAGGGCGATCCTCGAGGAAAACCCCGCTTCCACTTCCGCTACGAATTCCTCTATGCCTTATACGAATTTTTTCCATACAAAATTCGTATAAGGCACCGAGGAATCGTTCGATGAAACGGCCAAAAAGTTCATCGAGAGCTGCACCTATGAAGAAAACTTGAATCCCATACAAAATTCCTCGCGCAATTCCTCGGTGCGGGCATACCTTCGTACCCCTGTTCCTCGGTGCTTCCTCGCGGATTTCATATAGGAAAAAGCTATTTTGGAACTGCAGGGATATTTCGTCCGCAAAACCGATATTTAACGATTTGCTTGCCTATACTGTATACCAATACATATGCAAAAGACCTTTTGCTTCACTGAAAACGACAAAACGGTCCTAAAGCAATCAGAACAATACCGAATAGAAAAAAACGGTTTCGGTCTGAGCGCAATCGAACCCATTCACGAACCCATAAATCGATCGTTCTCTGAGACTTTTCGTAAAGGGTCAGGAGAAGACTGTTATTAGCAGACAACGAGAAACGGTCGACTGTTATTTGCGAGCTCTGATAAATCGTCATAGCTTCGATGTTGTTTAGCCTTTAGGTTTTTTTTTTTTACATATTTGATGACTGCAAGGGTATATAAGCTTCGGCTAGCTCCGTTTTTTATTTTTTTATTCTAGTAAAAAAAAAGCGCAATAAATCCCTTTTTTAAAAATATATTAGGTAGTAAAAAAGTCTTGCGGTATTTTTATTGAATTTTCAATTGTTCATAAACTTGGTAACAATAATGCGATTCAAGTCAAATATGCGCCGTTTTGTTCGATGACGCGTTCCCAACGAGATGCCAACTTTATAATGCCCCGCTCATAGAAGCTCGCTTTCTTATTGGCAAAAAACTTGGAGAGCCAATTTTCACAGGACTCTCTTGTGGCCAACTTCACACTACCAAGCGCGTTCGCCATGAACAGAAACAGGTGGTAATCACTTGGTGCGAGATCCGGACTAATCGGTGGATGCAAAAGAACCTTCCATCCGAGCTCCCGGAGCTTCTGGCGCGTCACTAAAGATGTGTGTGGCCTGGCGTTGTCCTGGTGGAAGACAATTCGGACTCTGTTGATCAAAGATGGCCTCTTCTGCATGAGTGCTGTCTTCAAGCGGTCCAGTTGTTGGCAGTACAGGTCCGAATTGAGCGTTTGGCCATAGGGGAGTAGCTCATAGTGGATTATTCCCTGCCAATCCCACCAAACACACAGAAGAACCTTCCTGGCCGTCAATCCGTATCCTTATAGTCCGGACATTGCCCCAAGCGATTACCATTTGTTTTTGGCCATGCAAAATTTTTTCGATGGACAAAAGTTGAGTTCAAGGGAAGATTGTGAAAATCGAATCGCCGAGTTTTTTGCCAGTAG